ACTCATATTGTGATTAGCCAATGTACTAACATTGAAATCTCTAAATTGCAGGTATGGTCAAGGCTTTCTTGAAATGTGGGATCCAGAATAAAGAAAATCCATAGTACAGCTACCTCTGATTCTAATAAGCCTAAATAGTGCAAACACTTAATTGGTATTTTTACAACTTCTGAAATACAGAGAATATTGTTCCATAACAGAAGTTCCAATTAAACAAGTGCTTTTAAGTTTATTGAAGACAAGTGTCTCAAGTACAAGCATTGCTGAGATCATTATATGAACAAATTTGGGTATGCTGACATAAAGGAAAACATAATTGGCTCTGAAGGAATTTCAAGTTGTGAGAAGGCATGAAAATGCAAACAGTCAAGCAAAAAGAAGAACAACCTGGACTGATTTTCAGGAGAGTTATTGAGGGAGAAAACCATTTTGCTCTGTAAACCGAGTTCATTTGGCATGAAAATAATACAATGATAAAAATATTTGAATCTAAATTTCTGGGTCATATTTCAAATCAGATTTCATTTGAAAGACTGATCATTTTAATTTTTGGGTGGTTGTGGTACGTATTTGTAAATGACCACATATGCTGCAAAAAGCTGCGCAGTGTTAAAGAATAAGAAGGGAGATTTCTTTTAGTTTTATTGTAGAGGTTTTACGGTTTTTAACCTTTTAATTAAAACACTGTTACATTTTTTTTTCCTTTAAGATATTATGTTTCCTGAAACTTAATCTTATGATGAGGGTGCTATTGGAACTCTGTCTTTTAGAGAGATAATTTGAGCTCATGTGACAGTTGTTTCACTCCATTACTTACCCAGATGAATACATTCTTTTTAGCACTGTTTTCCTGTCTTTCTTTTTAAAGCCGATGGAATCAGATACTCAAACACTTTGTTTTGCTTTGCTTTGCTTTTCAGAAGTGGATTATCTGGGTTAGGAAGGTAGTTCACAGCTGTAGATATTGTTTATTATTTTTGGTAAGTCAGTAGAGATATCTCCTAAATAAAGCCAACAGTACCTTCAATTGCCCATAAATGAAACCATCTGAAGTGAAAATCAGCAGATTAGCGCCATTTGGAAAGACGCTTTGGCACTCTTACTTGCACATCAACAAATTTTCTGTTTTAGGAAGAAAGAAAACCGTAACGAAAACTTTGGCTTATGAGGCCAAAGGCAGCCAATGATTTATTTAGTTGTGTCCTACTTTGAAAATTGCTATCATTTGCTACGAAATGCCATCGAACTTGAAAAATAAGGAAAACAGAAAGTAAGGGGGGGAAAAAAGATCCACCCCAGTAGAGTATAGTTAGGATTAAGGTTCCAAGCCAAAATTAAAGTTCTACAGTTAACTCACCTTCATGTCTTGAAACATGACACTTTACACAATGCAATACAATAATAACCTTAATGTCTTGGAATACACATTTACCTATGAGACCATTCCAGTGTAGGTTATGCTATTTTTAAAAACTGTTTGCCTTAAGTTAAATACTGCCATACCATTCCTTTTTATTTCTTTCATATTTAAATCTAGATCACTTCTTTGAAACTATCTGTGGTTTGTTAATAAAACCAGTCAATAAATTTGTAAAACTCTATTTCCAGGTATCTTTGTGAAAATTCTGAGTTCATATGTTCAAAGTCAGCCACGTATCTAAGTGATAAACCATAACTAAGGTTCTCTGGTTCAAATATCTGCTTGCAGCAGTGAGCAGCTTTTGAATTAGAGCAGCAATTTTCCTTTTATTCCCCCAAAACCAGCTGTAAAAAATGATAACCAGCTTTTAACTTGTCATCTAAAAGGATTCCCTTTAAGCTGAGTAGAGCTGTGTGGTATAACTCCTTCCACACTGGGATTGAGACTGAGGTGCAGCACATTCCCGATACCCTCTGTCCATCAGTGGCCTCACAGCTCCCATCCGAAGCAAAACTGCAAAATGGAGAGGGTTCAAATTCTAGGGCTGCAAATGCATCTCTAACTCCCTCTTCTTCAACATTTGGGGAATGTATTTGCAAGTGTAAAGCAAGATAAACCCTTTCAGGTTCCAGCATTTAATTAAGCTTTCAGCTATCTTTGTGAATGAACTGAAGAGCATCTAATATGCATGTCTACAGGGAACAGAGCAGGAGCACCACTCCTTCTGTGAAGTTGTTTGCTATCAGCTGGAAAAAATCTCAACTCAATTAGTCTCTCTCTGTGTTTAACTTCCTTTGGAACATTACATCTCCTATAGCTGAATCCCAATCGTAATAAATGTACTTGAACAAAAAAATACTTTCTTCCTCTGCGATGGCCTGTGTTTCTGGCATTAATTGGGTTTGAGCAGTGGCAGGATAAGGCGACTGTGGTATGGGAACTAGCAAGGGTAGGATGATCTCACAGGATTCAAGAAAAATTTTAGAAGTGTTCAAGGTTGTCTAGCAGCCCAGAGCAGAATTGTTCTGATCTTTTTTCCTCTTGTACAATCTCTTATTATAAGTAGATGCATGTAGGATTCCCAAAGAGGGAAATAACTTGGTTTAGTGTCCAATTGAAAATGGTAAGGATTTAAAAAGGTAAATCCCAACAGTGGTTCACAGGGACCACTGGCAATGCTTTACTCTACAAGAGCAAACAACAAAACAATCCTAACTGCCACGAAGGGTTGTCTTTTGTCTGCCTGGTTTTAGCATGCTTCTGCAGTTTAATGCATCGTGGTAACCATGTGGGCAGAATGTTTTTGGAACAGATGATCTTTCCCCACCTGCTATCACCTAAGCCCCAGGTAGTACCAAAGTTGTGAATGTAAATAAAGACCAGGTTAGAACATTCTTTTCCTGCACTATGTGACAACTGTGGGACACTAATGTCCCAGAAACAAGTTGTAAGATGCTCAAAAGTCACAGTCACCAAGACGTTTCAGAATAGTGCCAACCTTACCATGGCAAAATACAAATCAGCGTGGCAAATGTCACACATTTGTACTTCAACTTTTCATGCCTCAGTACTTTGAAGAGGAGCTACAGAGTTTTCCTGTGTGTCTAAAATATCATCACAAACCATTTTCAGCTGTCACAACCAAGTCAAGATTGAGTCTATCTTCATCTGTATTGTTCCAGCTGGCTTCATTAAATATCCAACACAACCATTCAACCAAAGTGAAGTAAAGAATTTCCCTCTCTAAAAGGTAACCACTAAACTGAGTATTGCAAATTCAAAGAAGTGAACAGCCTATTTGAAAATAGCACAGCTGCCAGAAAATTAACAGCATGAGCATCTTCCCAGACAGCTGTCTGTGCACGGGGCAGGGTGACAGGCCACGGTGGTGACACAGTGTGCCAGCTGAGTGAAGAGCACGTTTGCCATCAGCTGCTGTGCAAGGCTGCCTGCAAGCTGCAGTAATGAATGCCTAAAGAAATTTTCTTTATGGTTCGTCTTTTATTTTTAATAACAGGCTCAAAAGCCACTTTACACTTTTGCTGTACACACATGTACCTGAGGATTAAGGCTATTTATTATTATTCTGAACTTTAGTAAGAACTGTAAGGAAGATGTAATGTGCAAGTATCTTCCCAGTTCTCCTAATGCTCCTCCATATCATTTACCTGTGCATACACAAATCACAAATTAGGCCCAGGAAAGTAATGAGACTGACATGAACAGTAATGGTGTACACAAAAAAGCCCCATTCTCCGAAAGGTCCTTTGGCTTCCGAGGCCTCTTGATTCATATTTTCAAACTGCTTTCAGCAAACCACAACCAATGGAAGCACGCCATTATCTACCAAGAAAACTATTTTTCACAGCACATTATTTTTCACAGTGTTTTTAGCTCTCATCTGACATTCTTCTGAGCGTGCTCAGCTACGACGAGAGCCACTGTACACCTCTGAGGGGGCCTGGAACAGGAGGCGAGGCCCCTGAAACATCAGGGTATGTCGCGGGCTTGTAATGGCCACGCAGAGCACGGCGAAGCGGCCCCAGCGCTGCCGAATGCCACCGATGCGGACACACCGACGGTACCGGGGCCGCTCCCCAGCTCCCCAGCCCGGCCCCAGCGCTGCCGAACGCCCCCGATGCGGACACACCGACGGTACCGGGGCCGCTCCCCGGCCCCGCCCCAGCCGCCCTCCCTCAGCAACGCCCGCGCCGCCGCCGCCTCCGCGCCACAACGAGGCTCCGCATCCCAGCGGCCACCGCGGCGCGGGACACCCGCCGCACTCCAAACTACACGTCCCGGCGTGCACCGCTAACGGCTCCGGTTGGGCGCGAACGCGGTGCACGCTGGGACACGCAGTCCTGGCCGGCCTCACAGGTTCCCCCCTTCCCGCCACTCTCCCGCGGCGCCTGAACTTCCCGCGCACGCTCTGCGCCACGTACGCTCTGACGTCACGTGGTGTCACAGGGCCGCACGCGCCTCCCGCCCGCCCGCGGACCCAATCAACAGCGCCGGCCTTCGACCCGGCGCGGGGGCAGGTGCCCGGCGGCGGGGCCGGCGCCGCGGGCCCGGGCTGTCCGCGCCGCGGCTGCGGGGCTGGGCGCGAATCTGCCGCTGCTAGCCCGGGAAGAAAGTTCCCGTGAGGGCATCCCCCCTCCTCGCTGCCCCTGAAGGACGGGGCGCGGCGGTGCCCGCACCGCCGCGGCCTCCGCGCATCGTGGGCAGAGATCTCCAGCAGCAGGGAGAAGGCGAGCGGCCGCCAGGCTTGCTGACTGGCGAGGGTGGAGGTCTGAATTCCTGAGCTCGCGGATGCTCAGAAGCCGAAGGGAAGAAGCCCTGAGCAACCAGCTGTCGCTGACCCGGCCTTGAGCAGCAGAGGTCGGATGAGGTGACCTCCCTCGTCGCTTCCCAACTTCAAAAAACATGGATCCTGTGATTCTACGGATAGAAGCAGGAAGGGGTAGCCAGCACGGCAGACTCAAGAGGGTGCAGTTGAGGGCCACAATGATTAAGGGACTGGAGCGTCCCCCTTATGAGGAGAAATTGAGGGAGCTGGGTGTGTTTACTCTAGAGAAGAGAGAAGACCTCATTAATGCATATAGTTCCTTAAAACGTGGGTGCCGAGAGGATGGTGGCAGACTCTTTTGAGTGGTGCCCAGTGACAGGACTCAGAGGAATGGCCATAAATTAAACCACAGTAAGTTTTATCTCAACATGAGGAAGAGCTTTGTTACACTGAGGGTGGCAGAGCACTGGAACAGGCTGCCCAGGGAGGTCATGGAGTCTCCCTCTCTGGAGACTTTCAAACCCCACCTGGACATGTTCCTGTGTCACCTGTCTTTGCAGAGGGTTGGACTGGATGATCTGCAGTGATCCCTTCCAACCCAGATGATTCTGTGATCCTCAGCTCACATCCTTTCAGATGCTGTGTCTTAGACAGTGGGGTTTTGTGCTGCTCATGTAGTTTGGTACTGCCCCTGTGCATCCAGAGGGCAGTACCAAATGCTGGTTAAATGTTACTGGGACTGGATTTAATTTTGAGTTCAGGATCTGTCACAGGAACACTACTTTTCATTGGACCATTTGCTTGCTTTGTAATAAATTAATAGCAGATGAATTGTAAAATATCAGAAAATGAAATAATACAAGTAAACTGTTAAAAAACAGCAGAGATAATACATTTACACATTGCCTGTGGTAAAGCATTAGGTTAAAAAGAATTACATTGTTTTGGTATTGAGTGCAACCAGAAATTCAAGTTTGAAGGTTTTGCTTGTCTATGAGAACATATCAAAACAGACAGGGAAAAGGCATAAAATACACTTGTTTTTTGTTGCTTTGCTGAAGCATCACAGTGCTTAGTTTATTATTAAAGTAGATGCCATCCAAACAAGTCTCAATGTATTAAAATCTAAAGGAAAACAGAAGTTATGATATATAGAGCTGAGTTTTGAATAATCTTGTTAGGTTTTGACAGAGTATTTTAGTACTGGACACAAATTTGATATGGGTTTTTTGTGACAATTCCGTTCAAATTTTAGTAGCTTTATATTACCTGGAGAGTTCAGACTAGAAATTTTGGAAGTAAAATACTGATTAGTCTAAAAAGAGACAAACTAAAATTGCCCGATTTCTTTAAATTGTTCTGAAACTGGACCGAAACATTTTTTCCTCTAAATGTAACAAGATTTTTACTGTTTTCATACTAACTTATTTCTGTGATTAAGTGAAATTTCCATTTTGTATTATGGGAAAGACAGTAAGTTCCAGTGGATTTGTGATAAATACTGATTTTTATGAGTTAAAAACTTCCTGTATAGAAGGGGTAGGTTATACCTGTCCAGTGCAATTGTGGCAAACACTTTTTTCCTCCCAGCTGTGTTAAAACTTCTTGTGTAGTTCCTTTAGTAGAGCACACTTCAGAAATTCTGTTCCAGGAGCTTTGAACAACTTTGAAATTCTCAAATATTTAAAAAAAAAGTCTTAACATAGATTAAAATCTAATGTTACAAATCATAAAAAAGGAGTGATGATAGACCTTTACCAACTGGCTGTTATGGAGTAACATTTTATGAAACTTTTTATATGTATTGTGTATTTGCATAATGGACAGAATGGTATTTAGTTTCAGTATTTGTAAGTGCATTTGTTCTTAGATCACATCTGTTTGAATAGGGACAGTGTAGTTGTCCTGTTGATATCAGGTAAAACAACCATTCAAGTAAGCAGTCTACTGTAAAAAGTAATGCTCATTTTTTTGGATAAACTGACCTGTCTGATGCAGAGCTGCAATATGTATTTCTTGGAAGATGTTCATACTTGTGATTGTATTGTCCACATGGAAGCTTGGGCTTAAGTTGTAAGATGGGCAGTCAGGTAAGGTGGCAGTTTAGAGTCTGGGAGAAGTTTAGTGTGGGAGAAGGAGTGTCCTCACTGCAGCAGGAAAATGACTGCTCTGAGTACAGGCTGTGAGGAGCTGCTGACACGCTGCCTGCTTTGCACCAGGTAAAGTTTGATGTGCAGGCAGGGGGAGTTGTGACTAAAAGTCACATTGAAATGACTTAAAACTACTTTTCTAAATACCAACTGCTGTATACTAAATATACAATACTAAAGCTGTCTGGTCTCCTCACCCCATTGTATTGTTTGGGTTGGTTTGCATGTTTCAGTCTACCAGGAGAACCCTGGTGTAGATGAGTGCAGAGGCTGCTGGTGCACTGAGGATGTGCGTGCTCTGCTTGCTTTAGGAACTGACAAGTAGGTGATGAGTGGACATGACCTTTTAAGGCTCGTAAATAGGAGCTATTGGCGAAAAAAGTGAGAGGAGGCTATTCAGTTTTTAAGAAAAGGAGGTAAATGCAGCAGTAACTTGGAGACAGTTTTTGAGTGTTCATGTATATCCTTAAATTAGGTCCTATCTGTTACCTTTACTTACCAAGTAGCCTTTTTTATTACCGTGCTTAAAAGTTGATGCTTTGCATCCACACCCTGTTTGGTGCACATCTGGTTCCTGTCAGACCGCAGGCTTGCTTCAGTGGGACTGTTGGAGTGAGTGAAAAAGGGGTGAAGTCTTACCTTGGAAACACCTTGAGACCATTAGACTGGAATTATTAAAAGATGGGACAAGTTGAGGTCCACTATGTGAGGTTAGGCATCTGGCATTCGTGATGCATATTAAGATTATGCAGAGTCTTGGCTTTTATTTTCAATAAAAAGCAGTGTCTGGCATGTCAAGCTGCAGAGATTACCTTCCAAGCATGACCTGAGCTGAAGTGATGTCTGCTTGAGGCTGATGTGCCTGAAATCCAAATGTCACCCTTAACTGTTTAACTACAAACCCTTGTTTGGAGTTTTGCATGGGGGTTGGTGTCAGTACCGAAGCCCGTGGGATTTGTAATTGAGTAATACATCTGTATTGCTGCTTCTGAGAAGAGAGGGCACTTACAAAAGAAAAATGGATTGTGAAACAGACTTCAGAAGGAAAAGAAAGAGAAGGCATAAAGGCAATATTTTTGGAATGTAATTTTTCAGTATGTTCTTCTGTTGGTGGATATTGACTGTTATTAAATAGTAAATTAATTTATATGAAGGATGATTTTATTTGCTTGATCTCTCAAGAATTAATTTTGTTCTTTACTGTGGCACCCTGTATTGAGGGCTGGATAAATGTGATCAGCTCTGTTTTCTGAGCTGTAAACAAGCTAGTCTGTACAAGGCAAGAAAATGAAAAACACATGGAACATAAGCTTAACTTTCATTTCTCCCTTCATTAATTAAAGTTTGGCTTTTGTGAATTTTATGGGAGAAGGTTTGAGAAACTATATTTTTCTTCTTGCTTAAAACTTGTTTTAAAATGAACTTAGAGCAGAGATCAATTTTTTTAACAAAGTTTAAAAGAGACCTTGTTTTTTACAACATCAGCATAGCTTATGAAAGGACTACTTAAAATCTGTGAAAGTGTCAGTTTTCCTTTGGGGAGATCATGTGGAATATAATGTACATGCTGGAAGTAAAATATGTAGCTGTTCTCATAAGAGAAAGGTGATGATGTAGCTCAGTTATTATAATTTTCAAATACAGTTTTTCTTCCTTTCTGTTTTATACATGCTACTTGCATCACAAAACAGGCAACAGTAACTCAATGCTAAAAGTGATTTGTTTGATAACAGATTGTGGAAACTGAGAATCTTGAATGCCGAGCACTTTGAATAACCCATATCCCTTTAGCAATAATTATCTCACATCTTTTGGCAGGTTTATGGCTACTAATGACTTGATGACAGAACTACAGAAAGATTCTATCAAGCTGGATGATGACAGTGAAAGAAAGGTGGTGAAGATGATTTTGAAATTACTGGAAGATAAAAATGGTGAGGTGCAAAACTTAGCTGTCAAATGGTAGGTACTCTTTTTCTATGATGTAGAGAATTGTATAATGACTGAACAATATAAAGCACTTTTGAAAACTCAAACAACCACTGCTACACAAAATAATTTTGAAATTGATGTCCCCAAAGGAACCCTTATTCTTGTAGACTACCTGCCTTAAGTGTTGTAATATAAAAAACTATTTTGGTGACATTGGGCATTAATATTTGGGGTTTCAGGCACCAAACAGCACGTGCAGTACTTGCTGGAAGTATATGAGTGACACACTTGTTCTTTGGTGATAATTCTTGATTGCTAAACAGATACAAAAGCTTATAATTCAGTGGTAGTTGCTGCATTGATACTTGATGGTGAGACCTTAGCAGGGGAAGAATTGTAGTATTAGAGTTGTTTTCAAGCAGACATGAAAACATGAAATGGTAAAGATATGGCCTTGGTTATCAAACATGGAGTTCACCTCTTCACTAACATTCAGGATACTGCGTTAATGGTTTTACAAGCTTTGCAGGAGCTGTAAATGTTTTATGGGATCAGGGTGCATTTACCTGTGTTTCCGAGACTTCTGTTGCTTCACTGCCCTCTCTTCCTCACTTTATTGAGTTTTACATATGGTGTGACTTTTCCAGAGCACCCTTTGAAGAGGTGCTGCATTTCTTAAGACTTTTTGTTCTTGGCCATTCTGATTTTTGTGTGCTTTAAAGAGGGCCTCTTTTAGGAGCCATATAGTGTTCCTGAGAATGTTTCTTGTTTGTGAGCTCAGGTTTGGTTTTTTTTAATACTCCATATACACTCCTTATATTACATGAGGTATGGATTGGAGTAAACTTGGTATACAAGAGCTTGAGAAGTTTCACATTGTGACTAGCCAGGTTTGTTTTAGCTTGTTATTCTTTGTAGTTTGCCCTGTCAGACAAGCAAAGCAGAAAAAGCCTGTGTATGCCTCTGCTTATGTACTTAGAAGCAGTGTTTGCTTCAGCTGCTGAAGCATTGTGACTGATGGTAACCAAAATCTTGCACAGACAAATTGGTGTAGGAATATCAAATTTCAAGCCAGTTATTAGCAATATTAAGTATACTAGTACTATAGCTGTCACTACTTTTCCCCTACTGTCACCAGGAATGCAGTGTTATTAAAACGTGTCTTACCCGTCTCCTTTTCATAACAACACAAAATACCCTGTTTCTTTTTAATTGAAACTTCTGGAATGTCTGTTGCTCATGTTTTCATGGTTTTGAAACAGATTGCTTGTACTCAATCAGAAGAGCATATTGTTGTGAAACTTGGCTCAGGCTTAGAATTGTCTTTGTGTGCAGTAGGATTTTATGGAAAAGTTACATTTTAGCATACATGCAATACTCATTTCTAATGTACATCCTAAAGTTGTCCTGAAGTTTAGATTAATGCACATAGAGACATATCACCATTTTTAATGGCAGTGTTAGAATTTAGGGTCTAAAGTACAAGTAATGCTTATTATATCATTAAAGAAAGATTGCAAAGGGAAGGGAATGAGAAAATACATGACTTCCTGTGTGTCTGCACATCCTGTTCTTATTAACAGTTCTTCAGGTTTTAAATTTACTTTGATATATTGATAAAACTCTTGGATTTAACTAATGTAACTAAATCTCTTTCAACTTTGGAGTGTTTTTGAGAATTCCAAATAATGTTAAGGAGCAGTGTTAAGTTTAATGGGACAAGAAACATAATGGAAAAGTTTTCAGGTGAATTATGAACATCTGTGTAGAAGGTGGACATGTGTACATTCTGGATCACATCAAGTTGTGTTTTTTTGGGGTTTTTTTTTTTGTGTCACTTGCTAATCACTTGCACCTATGCTCTGAATTAAAAAAAAAAACCAAAAAACAAACCACCACTCTTTTAGTATTCTCTTCTTGAAGCAGCTTGTACTCAAAATACAGTTCATGACAGTTTCAAGCCTAATGCTGCTGCTGCTTCCTGTTTGCTGTTCTTGTACTCCTTGTTCTCTTTCTCGCACTGCTTCTTACCTGGTTTTGTGACAGACTGGTTTAGGCAATTAGTTTTCTTCTGGCTTATTGATTTCCTCCTGCGGTTTACCTGTTGGTAGAAGCATTGGTGGGGGTGAAGGATGGGAGAGGCTGAACACTACTAAGCTGCAGGTTTTTTAAGACTGTTCAAGCTGATCTGAAATCTTCCATCTACTACAACACTAGGTGTAAGCCTGATTCATTGGGAAGTTAATTTCACACAGCATATTTTTCTTGGCTTTTTTAATTTTAAATATTTTTGTGCTCTTGTGTATTTCTGTTAAGGATTTCTTGGCACTTCCAGCATAAACTGTCTTTAGATCTCTCTTAACTTAAATGCTGTGGTGAACTTTAGAGACTGTTAGCAGTAACTTTCATCAGGCCCTTGATGACCCATTAAAGTATCAATTCCCTCTCTCATAGAAAGAGGATTTAAGACAGCCCAATGTAATTTTCAATCTGCGCTTGAGATAGGAATTTCCTTGAGGAAGGGAGAAAAGTGTTGGAGCTTGTTATGGGAACTTCCTCTACAGGTAGACCAATTGAAATGCTCTGAATAAAACTCTTGCATAAGAGTCACTCTTTGAAGATTTGATTCTCGAGGTCACTGAACACGTCTGATTTGAAACAACTCGGAGCAACTGTAAAGCAGTATTTATTTTTAGGAAAGTGTAGCAACAAGTCAGCAGTGTTGCTGGTTTTGCCTATCTGCTGCTCGCTTTCACACTTGAGTAAGAGGAGCTCTATTGGTTAAAATGTCGACAAACTTTTTTGTTATTATCTTTACAAAGCACACTGGTGATTTTGTTCTTGTTCCTTTCAATTACATTGTGCTGGTCTGGGCCAGGATAAACCATGTAAAAGCAGCAGAAGTCAGTTTTTGGGTTCATTGGTATTTGGGTGTACCTTGCAAAATGGTTGTCCAGTTCATTTCTGAATAAAAATGAAGATTAATGAGCTGTGTTAGTAGTCTTGAAGTAAAAGCTGGCCTGCTGTAATCTTTGACCCTATGGAAGGGAACTGAGTTTTATTTGTTAAGCTTCTTACTGCAGGCAGTAGATATGTAGATAGTAGAAACCTGTGTCTGTAACAACAGGTTGTTTATCTTGTTTGTCTTAACTGCATGTAAAATATTAAATGTATTTTTGTTGTCTCCCTTTTTTTTTTGAACGAATGGTTTATGGTTTACTTGGTAGTCGTAGGCTGTTTTACCATCAGCCAGTGTGGAAAAGGCTATTCTTACAGCTTATCCTTAGTTTATAGCTGTAAGTGTAGTCCATCCTGTGGCTTGATTAAGATTATGTGCATCAGGTGTAGTCAGGCACTGTGGTTTGTCAACAATTGTGTTGGTATTGCTTTTTCCTCATTGCTGATAATCTTTGTAGTGCTCTCTTGGTCCAAATTGCGCATTAAATGTTTAATGTGTTCATTGTTGCAGCTTAAGGATGCATGTTTCTCATTTTGAACACTTTGATATTCTGCCATTTAAACCTACACATAGAAATTTTTATTGGTTCACACTGTGAAATCTTTCCTGAAACCAGTAAGAAGCCAAACATACTCAAATCTACCTTGAATGGAAAAAAAAAAAAAAGGTGGGATAAAGCGCTTTCAGTGATTCCTCCCTGTGGTACTGTAGTTTCTCTGCATTTATCAGAGTGACTTCTCTGGGCAGTAGTTCAATGTAGGGAGCTCTCCCTGACGCTCTGAGTCTGAGTCATTAGTGTGAACAGGATGATGCATGTATTGGCTGCTGTGTGGCTGATCCAGTTCAGCAGCTTTAAAGCATTTTATATGCTTTGGTAGTACACTACTGCACATCATGCTATACTAGTGATTTGAATAATGTACATTTTTTTTTTAATTTGTGAATTTTAATTCTTCCTTGTAAATAAATGTGCTTATTCCATAGCTGTTAAAATATGCCAGTTGGAGATTATAATTGATTATATGTTGGTGTTCACCTTCCTAATATGGAGCTATGCTATGAACACCTTTATTTCCAAATGTGTGTAACTTAAAGGAGACAGTGTGTTGCTGTTTACTTCCATAGGCATCTGAATGAGCTTTTTACTTTGAGAGAACCTATACGCAAATTATTGGCTAGTGAAAGGGAGAAGATCGAAGAGCATTTAAGACTATCCAAAATGGCCTTCAAGTGTGTAAAATGCATGCTTAAGTGCAAAAGCTTTGTAGTCGAAACTGATTTGATACAAGAAGGTTATAGTTTATTTTCAATTTCTGGTGTGTAATTATTAGTTGTATTATTTGTCCCAACTAATAATAAGGTCTATGAGTGATATTTACTGATTTTGAAGGCCAGAAAAGCTTGAGATAATATTTTGTAAAATTTACTTCACAATTGTTATGTCTGCTTCGCTGAACTAATAGGTTGAATAAATAGGACTAAAGATGCTGATTCTGATAATATATGGCTTAATACTTCCCAGAAACTGTAATTTATGGTGTGTGTTAATATCATTCCAGTGGTTTGGTCATTTTTAAAACATGAGCAAAAAAGTGTTTCCGATTCTTAGCTGAGATGAATCTGATTGACTGGCCTTTGCTGTGATTATTTTAATGACTTATAGGTTGCATTTGAAAAATAAGCATATTTAAATCAAAAGAATTCAGTAGTTTTTCAGCAGTTCAGGTTTAAAACAAGGGGTTTTTAACATCGTGTACATTGTTGTGTCTGTTGAGTGAAACACACAGGGAATTTAATTTCTCTGGACTACCATGGAGTCATTGTACCTTGGAATTCTGTAAGTTTCTGTTTGAGTTGATTTGTGCTTGTGTTGCTTGCAAAACAATTTACTATGCACCAAGAGCAGATGCATGCAACAGGGCTGTGAGTAGCCACTGACTGACAGTGGTGTGCATGAAGGGAAGCTCTATATATAGACGTGTCAATGAATCACGGTGAAGGAAGAGCTTGACTGGAGTCAAATCAAGTTGTGAAGAAAGCCGTGAGCTTTTTCAGCAACTGGAGAAAATGTTTCAACTGCAGCCAGGGATAGCTTGATGTATTTGTGCCTCAGAGATAATTATTGGTAATAATCTGTGTTAGCAGATTATTTGTGTACAAATAATTTGTGTTAGCAGATCTGTTTGTGTACAGATTTATCAGGAGTTTTTAAGTTAGAGGCAAAAATTCTTTACCCGTATTAGTGTTCAGAAATTATTTTAATCATTATTAATTTAATATAATTGAAGCAGTAAAATGACCAGATTAGATTGTGAATATAGTCCTCTAAGCCCCTCCCTACTCTCAGGGATTTAATGGCTGTAGAGATAGTTTAATCAAATCTAAAGAATTAAGTACAGTGCCCTTTCCCTAAATTAAAGGGCAGTGTCAGGTTAGGGCATGAGGTCTGACTGCTTTTAAGGAAGGGATCTCTGTCAGAACTGTTCATTTCTGCAGGAGCTGCTGAAGCAAGAGAGAAACCATCCATTATGTCTTTATTTCTGTGTACTTAAAGGGCTTCTTTTTATGCCTTTGATTAGATACCAGTCAGTATCTCAACTAAGAGTTCTCTTGAGATTATCTGTATGCTGTACTTTCTGAAAATGTAACCCCAAAGTTGTTCTTCTGTATTTATTTTAAGGTTATATGTAAATCTCCACTAAATACTCCACAAATTGAATAAATTGCAATCTTTCTGAATTTGTGGCATTGACGTGATCATAAGGTATCAGTTTCAGATATTTGTGCACTCGTTTGACTAATCTCAAATTAGTTCCCAGTTCTGTGCATTAACGAGATGGAGTTAGTTGCAAGTGATACTTCTGTGTCTGTTTTGCCTTTGCTGCCTCTCCGCCCACCCTTCCCCTGCCCCCGCCCCCCACATGTATTTTCAGCAGGTGCTACCACACTAGTACCCACATGAGTGGGTAAGGAGAGAAAGAAACCAAGCTGGTTATAGTTTGTGAAGGAAAGCATGGAAAGTGCTAGATGTGATTGCCTTGGGAATTGTGTATTCCTGGGTGTTAATCTAAGTGTTGTGCCTCAAGTGCAAGCACTGTTCTGGGTTCATGGCAGGTAAGGCGTTGTGAGTGTGGCCATTCAAAGAGAAGCTCCAGGTTTGCCTAACGTGGTGACAGACCCCTAATGCCAAAACTTTGAACATTACTCTGGTTACTGTCGTGCAGTAAGTCACACATAGTGCTTCAGTGCAAGGGCTTGCTTGTCTATGTCCTCCTCCTGTTTGCTCTTGCTTTCTGCTGGGCAGTTTTTTTATAATAGTTAGGTCTTGCCCTTGTGAATTCGTGGATGTGGGGAAAAAGGGTATGAGCAATGGGGTACATAGAGGTTTGGGGATGGAAGATGTGTTTTGGGTTTGTTTAACTGTGTAGAGCCATGCCTAAATCCAAATGTTGTATAGAACAAAGATGCATAATTAAGAATATTGTTTACTTGTCTGTGAATTACGCAGACACTGATGGTCAGGCATGTAAACTGATGGCTCTGGCTAGGTTAATTTTTGTTATAGATCTTGTTGTGAACTGAGAAGTAAGAGGGACTGTGGTTTTGAGAGTGAAGCAGAACAGCCATACAAAATGAATTTCCAGCTCCAAATAAGAAACATGTACTAAATGAGTGTTTTGTTACTAGATTTATGGAGTAAATAAGTTAAGAGTCCAACCAGATGAGGGTTTTCAGTTTTTAAAATTCTGCTTTGTCTTGCTACCAAAATCAACCTGAAGTTTATGACTTGAATGCAAAATACTGAAATAATATTGTTGCCAATTTAATGCTCTTCTCTTGTTTGTATAGCCTGGGACCTCTGGTGAGTAAAGTGAAGGAGTATCAAGTGGAGACCATTGTAGATACCCTGTGTACAAACATGCTTTCAGATAAAGAACAGTTACGTGACATTTCAAGCATTGGTCTTAAAACTGTGATTGGAGAACTTCCTCCAGCTTCCAGTGGTAAGTAATTTTGTACTAAAGACTTTATATAGCTGTGTAATTTACTAATTCAAAAAAATTTAAAACCGGGGGGTTTTAGGGAAGAGGATTCAGTAAATTTAGCACTGGAACTAGTTTCAGTTAGGGTAAAAACATGGCACAAATACCCTTTCAGTTTCTCCTTCTCTGACTATATTGCCAAATTTTACTAGTTTAAGAACTTTTTTTTACTGAAGGATTGCATTAATGTGCAAAACAAGCTCAGAGAATATGAACTTTAGTATAACAAGTTATAAAAGCTTCTATTTTAATAACTGCCTGGTGGAGCACATCTAGGCTGTAGTAATAGTTAAATCTCATCTTGGTCTTTGGTTGATAATGCGCTTTAAAATTGATTACAGCTCCTGTATTTTTCTTTAACCATCTGATTTCTTGTCTCACTTTCTAGGAATTGTTTTGGAAAGTACCTTGTATTTCTGACAGTTGCCTTTTAAATTAGTGAAAGTCTTACCTGCAGGTTTAAATGAAGGCAGTCTTTCCTCTAGAAGAGACACAGATGTTGAACAGCTCATCAGTTAATAGCATTGCTTTTTACTCTAGTGCTTTTCAGATATCATATTGTAGGATATGAATGAGACTAGAGAGTGATTGAAAAGGTTTTGGAAATGACATTTTTAGAGACTGAGGTCTCTTGAATTTAAAAGAAAAGCTCTGGTTTTAATATCCTTTTTGAAAATTGACATGTAAATCTTGCTTCTGTCAAGCAGCAGTGAGATGCATAAGCTTTACATAAATAACTAATTTTAAGTAAGGTGTTTTAAGCTTTTACTCTTTTGTTTGCTTACACAAAACAAAAGATTTTTGGGTGGAGGTAAAACTCAAACGAAAATGTAGGCAAGTCTTTCAATATAGTTAATGTCCCTAATGTAAAAATAAACAACATGTTATTTCTAGCTCCCGACTCAAACACAGATTGTTCTCTTTTTTTTTTTTAGCCTCCATGGTAACACATTAGACTGTCCACTTGTTATATTTTAATTTTAGTTGTAGTTAAGAATGAGCCATAATATATATATAAACTAGATTTACCATAGGTTGGAATGGTATTAATTTCACATTGAAATTTGCAAAATGTGACTCGAAGAATTTCATGCAGGTGAAGATGAGTACTAACCATGATAGGAGTTCCTTTCATAGTTACTTGAAATGTTAGACAATTAGAGGAAGGGGGAACTATGAAGTTGTTATAAAGACATTTTTACTTGTATTTTAAAATACTTTGGATATAAATTTTCCTCCCTTTCTCAAATGTTCCAGTAGTATTTCAGGTACTTAATTTTTAAGTAGCTTCTTGGGCAAAATAATTTTGCTTTTTTTTTTGCCATTAGAAGTAGCTCTATCTACTTCTGTGTTTTTCCTTACCATACAGTATATACCTTCATTTTTACTTATAGTCTTTTCATTTATTGCTCTAGAGTTGTGGCTTTCACTTTCCATCGCTTGCCCTTCCAAAAGCAGTGTTCTGTTGTGTGTACTTTCTGGGACAAGAATCCCTCCTGCTTAGTATGTTTGTACATAGATAATCTTTTCAGCTCTAATGCAGAGCATACATGACCTTAGCAGAGTGGCTGTTTAAGCTTGTTTTGTTGGTTGGAAAAAGCTTCTTTATGTAGATGGGGTTGCTTTCCATATGACAGACATCATCTCTGGTGTTAAAAGCTGTATTTTTAAAATATTATGGAAATGCTGAGTTTTTGTTGTACTTTCAGGTTCTGCATTAGCAGCTAATGTTTGCAAAAAGATCACAGGGCGTCTCACTAGTGCTATAGCCAAGCAGGAAGATGTGTCTGTGCAACTGGAGGCACTGGATATCATGGCTGATATGCTGAGCAGGTAAACATCCCTCTTTTAATATGCTGGTGAATGCTCATAAATACTACTTAAAGCTTGAACTTCAGTTTTCCAAATGTTAAAATTAAATGATTCCAAATAATATGAAATAATATGGTTAATATTATATGTAGATGAAACTTAATTTAGAAAAAATACGTGAATGTATTGAAGATAATTGGTTGATCAATTACTATTTAATTTTCTGAGAACTGTAGCTTTAAGCTTACTTTAATGTTCATTGTTTTGAAGTTACATTTTAAACTCATTTCTTCTTTTAATAAGTTCTAAAACCTGAAATTTTAAACATTTGATTGGAATCTTTGTGATGTTTGGGGAATATTTGAAGGATTGTTTTACAGTATATGAACAAAGTTATCTAGATTCAATTGGTTTTGAGTTTGTGTTTTGTCTGTTTTAAGGCAAGGAGGACTGCTTGTTAACTTCCATCCTTCAATTCTGACCTGTCTGCTCCCCCAGCTGACCAGCCCAAGACTTGCTGTGAGGAAAAGAACCATCATTGCTCTTGGTCACCTGGTTATGAGTTGTGGCAATATGGTTTTTGTTGACCTCATTGAACATCTGTTGACAGAGCTGTCTAAAAATGATTCCATGTCAACAACTAGGACCTATATACAGTGTATTGCCGCTATCAGTAGGCAAGCAGGTCACAGAATAGGTAAGAAAAATATATATAAATTATCTTTTACTTTGAAGTTTTTCTGTGAGAGTAATTACTTAGCTAATTTTTTTCTCTTAATAGGTGAATATCTTGAGAAAATAATTCCTTTGGTTGTAAAGTTTTGTAATGTAGATGATGATGAACTACGAGAGTACTGCATTCAAGCCTTTGAATCTTTTGTTAGGAGGTAAGTCATTCATAGGTACCTATTTCAGGCTTTCTTAAGATCTAATAGTGTGTCATTTGGTTGTAAGCTGTCAAGAGACAGCCTCCCTCATACAAAATACTTGCAAGCTTTCAGCTGGAACAGTTCCTGTAGCTATCTTGTAACTTAACTCTTAAGCAGTGTGTTATGTCTGTACAAGCTTTCTACTATGCCATTGGTACTTGTGCAAACAAGAGGTGGGAAATAATCTAATAATATTTGTGTCCAGTAGTGGTGATAAAAAATTGGTATCCAAAGGCATATCTGAGTCCTTTGCACCTTGTAGTCTAGCAGATCCTGTTATAAAGTGGCATTACCTTTTCTGACCTTCCCTTTGAATTTCTGTAGTTCAGAGAGATGCCTTGATGTTGTCTTGGCTACTCTCTCCAGAATACAGTATGCAATATGAAATCTTTTAAGAATATTTTGGTACTTCAGGGTAATTTGGTAGTGATTGTATTTTTATATTACACAGGTGTCCTAAAGAAGTTTATCCTCATGTATCTACTATTATAAACATTTGTCTTAAATATCTTACTTATGATCCTAATTACAATTATGATGATGAAGATGAAGATGAAAATGCTATGGATGCTGATGGTGGTGATGATGATGATCAAGGTATGTTCTCTTTTTGATTTGGGGGAGAGGATGAGCTTTTGATCCTGCACCCATCTGGGAAAATTGGTATGGGTCGTAATACTCCTGAGTACCAGCATTTGAATGACTTGTGTACTTTCATTCAAATTTTGTATCTTTTTTAAACATGGCTAATGAACTCACTTCCTGGAATAAAAGGATAGGCTGGAGATCAGTAATTCTGAGAGGGAACATAAAATACAAGACCAATATTTTAAAATACCTGAAAGGTGGAAAAAGGCAGAAGCGAGTAGCATGATATAAATAAAGTGAGAACATAAGTTAATGAATTGAAAATACATAGGAGAGGCTACAGCATAGGAGAGGCTTCTCACTACTTTCCACTATAATATGTTGGTGCCTAATGCATAAAATCAGAATAGATTGAAAATGACTCAGTATTTTTCTGTAGGATAGAAGTGTTTCACACTGAAAGGCATAATGTATTTTATTGTTAATATGGTGGCAAGCATTGCCAGATAGAAGCTTTGTGAAAACTTGGACACACAAGTAATTTGAGTTGAGGGCATAAAATTCTCATTACTTAAGGAAGGAGTGAGCTGCATAGTTGTTGCCTTAAGACCTGAAAAATCTATATTGCTTATTTTATTATTTTTATTTTTTGGGGGGATGCTGTATAGTTTGATTTACCTCTGGAAATAAGCAGACAGAATACTTTTTTGAATCTTGATCAGCTAATATTCATTGTTGCTTTGTTGTCATGAATAAAGAAGAATATGCTTTAAATCAGTAGTCAGGCTGGAAATCTGATGGGGAGCTCCTTTTCCTGTTTGCAGTTTAAATTAATATGTTTGGAAGACTAACGTGAAAAAAATTGGCTGAGAATTACAAGTTAGGCTGTGTAGAAGGCTTTTTATATATATGGTTTTTAATGTAATTCTGAACCTATTTCTTTGTGTGTCTTATGCAAAAAACCCAAGTTTTTAATTGTTTAAAAAGTGTGTTCTTTTTAATTGTTTAAAATAAAACTTGATGCTTTGCTTGTCTAGACTTGAACATATGCATAATTTATTTTTTCAAGGGAGCGATGATGAATATAGTGATGATGATGACATGAGCTGGAAAGTGAGGCGTGCAGCTGCTAAATGTCTGGATGCTGTGGTTAGCACACGACACGAAATGCTTCCAGAATTCTACAAAACTGTATCTCCTGCTTTGATAGCCAGATTCAAAGAACGTGAAGAGAATGTTAAAGCAGATGTTTTTCATGCATATCTTTCTCTTTTAAAACAAACTCGACCCGTGCAAAGTTGGCTTTGTGATCCTGATGCAATGGAACAAGGAGAGACACCTTTGACGATGCTTCAGAGCCAGGTTATTTGTAAAGATTTTTGTTATCTTTCAGAAGACATGTTAAAATTGCTCCCTGTTCGTAAGGATAGTTCATGCAATATGCTTTATCATGCTTTCTTTATACACGGGTTACAGTTTATTCCTGTAGTGTTAACGCAGTGACCAAGCTGGGTAAACTGGCCCAAAAAATGCAGCAGTCTTAGAAACTGAAATTGCCTTGTACAAATGTGCTTATTTAATTTCAGTTGTTTACTCACCTGTGAAAGTTGCATGTCCTATGTCATTTAGCCACATTGCCAAAGCAAAAGTTACTTTGTGCGTTCTGTATTCAGATATAAGCACTAACGATCAAGATAAAACTTGATCTGCTGCAGCGTATTTTATTTGCAGAAAAAGATAATGCTAAGAAACTTCATCTGAGTGAATTATTTAGGTGGCTTTTCAAGTGTTGCTCTCTACAGTTTTATTAGTGCAATTAACCTTTCAAAGCTACATCACTTTTTTTTTTTTTAAAGCAATTATTTTGAATCTTCATTTCCCAGTGTTTCTACAACACCTCTAGTTCTGTAGAGAAATCAGGGGGTTAGGATGCACGTATTTCTTTATATCTCCCCAGAGATCAATAATGAAAGAAATGTCAGCTATTGAATCAATTAACAGATGTGTGATGATTACAGGTTCCCAACATAGTTAAAGCCTTGCACAAACAGATGAAGGAGAAAAGTGTTAAGACTCGTCAGTGCTGCTTTAACATGCTGACTGAGCTAGTAAATGTGTTACCTGGAGCCCTAACACAGCATGTTCCTGTACTTGTACCAGGTATGAGAAATACAGCATTAACTTAAATACTTACTAATAAATGGTATGGGAAGTTCTGAAACATCAAAATATTGAAGTCCCGATTGTGCTTTTTGCAAAAGCTTTGAAGTGTGGCTTCTGTTGAAAGAAAATAGCAAAAAAATCAGCTATTATGTGTATCCATATAAATATTTTAGTCATATATTTCCATTAATCTTGAAAAGAAGATTAAAGGTTTTTTTCTTCTTTATAAAAAAAAGAAGTTAATTTGATTCTTAATTACAAAATCAAATTGACTCCTTTTCCATCTGAACAGAGAAAAATATTTTCCATAGTTTAGCTTTTAAAACTTAAAATGTTGAAATTTGAAGTAATGGTGAAAAGTAAGGTTGGAAATGTTAAAGATTCAGAATTTCTTTATAATTAAGAAAATATGTCATAGACCATTGAATGACCCATGTCTTTTGATGGAGGAAGCTTAAAAGCTAATTGGTTGAATAAAGTGATTAAAGGGCTTTGGAAGCATTCAGAAAGATGGGGAGCCTTCTGGCTCTGGCATTAATTCAGTATAGCTGCCTTCCTTTGGAAATTTTAAAGTGTTCTAGTAGACTCTATAAATACCTGCCCTAAAAATACTTTTTTTGGTTTCTTCCAGGAATAATCTTTTCACTGAATGACAAATCAAGTTCTTCTAATCTGAAGATAGATGCTTTGTCCTGTTTGTATGTGATCCTCTGCAATCATTCTCCCCAAGTCTTTCATCCTCATGTTCAAGCATTGGTACCTCCAGTTGTAGCTTGTGTTGGTGACCCATTTTACAAGATAACATCAGAGGCACTTTTGGTTACCCAACAACTTGTAAAGGTTATTCGTCCTTTAGACCAGCCTTCTTCCTTTGATGCTACTCCTTACATCAAAGATTTGTTTACTTGTACAATCAAAAGATTAAAGGCTGCTGACATTGATCAGGAGGTGAAAGAAAGGGCAATATCTTGCATGGGTCAAATAATTTGTAGCCTTGGTGACAGTCTAGGCACAGACCTGCCTAGTACACTTCAGATCTTTCTAGAGAGACTGAAGAATGAGATCACTCGGTTAACTACTGTGAAGGCAATGACATTGATTGCTGGTTCTCCTTTGAAGATAGATTTGAGACCAATCCTTGGGGAAGGAGTTCCTATTCTTGCTTCTTTTTTGAGAAAGAACCAGCGAGCTTTGAAGCTGGGCACTCTTTCTGCGCTAGATATTTTAATTAAGAATTACAGTGACAGCTTGACAGCTGCCATGATTGATGCAGTCCTGGATGAGCTTCCACCTCTGATTAGCGAAAGTGACATGCACGTATCACAGATGGCCATCAGTTTCCTGACAACACTGGCTAAAGTATATCCTTCTTCCCTGTCAAAGATTAGTGGCTCCATTCTCAATGAACTTATTGGGCTGGTGAGATCACCCCTTCTTCAGGGTGGAGCACTTAGTGCCATGCTAGAATTTTTCCAAGCTTTGGTTGTGACTGGTACAAACAATTTAGGCTATATGGATTTACTGCGCATGTTAACGGGTCCAGTGTACTCACAGAGCACAGCACTTACTCACAAGCAGTCTTACTATTCCATTGCCAAATGTGTCGCTGCCCTTACTCGAGCCTGCCCTAAGGAAGGACCAGCTGTTGTAGGTCAGTTCATTCAAGACGTTAAGAACTCAAGGTCCACAGATTCCATTCGTCTTTTGGCTTTACTTTCTCTTGGGGAAGTCGGGCATCACATTGACTTAAGTGGACAAATCGAGCTGAAGTCTGTAATACTGGAAGCGTTCTCTTCTCCTAGTGAAGAAGTCAAGTCAGCGGCGTCATACGCCTTAGGCAGTATTAGTGTTGGCAATCTTCCTGAGTATCTGCCATTTGTCCTACAAGAAATAACCAGTCAGCCTAAGAGGCAATACCTTCTTCTGCATTCCTTGAAAGAAATAATTAGCTCTGCGTCAGTGATTGGTCTCAAACCATATGTTGAGAACATCTGGGCCTTACTCTTGAAACACTGTGAATGTGCAGAAGAGGGTACAAGGAATGTTGTTGCTGAATGCTTGGGCAAGCTTACGTTGATAGACCCAGAGACTCTGCTTCCACGACTCAAGGGATACTTGGCATCAGGTGAGAAGTAGTGCATGTGTCTGTTGGAGCAGATGGCTTTATGATACCTGCTAATAAATGGATCTAGTTTTTCAAATTTCTTGCTTAAATGCTGTGTCTTGAAGTTTTGCTCCCCTCCCCAACAATGGAAGGTTAAGGTTTTTTGCGTTTACTAGAAGTTGTTAGTCATACACAACAAGAATTACTTGTGTTCTGCTTTCAGACATTGTATTTGTTAACAGTGTTATGTTTTATGTTTAAGACAGAGCTATAAACTTGAAGGGGAAGGAGCATGGGCAACTAAGGGACAAATTAACAAACCACTTGCAAGATTTTGACCTTTTGGTGTAAATTACTATATTCCTAAATTTCAGATAAGGATTCTGAAGTTTTTAAGAATTAGGAAAGATTTTTGTGCATAATTAATGAACTGGTTTCATATCAAGAACTGTGTTCACGTATTTTCTTCATGTGCTTCTGCTGTAAAGGGAAGAATTTTTTTGTAGGCCGATATATGATCATAAATAATCTTTTTTTAATAGCCTTATTGCTCAAATTTTCTACAGGAGATAACATTACATGCTTATTACAATGTTATGGTATTTTTCCCTGTTTAAAATGTTCTGTCCGTAGGTTTATTTGAGTTACGTATTGCATTGCTAGCAATAAATAGCTTTTCTTGTTTGCTGTTCTTAAGAGTATTAGAAGTCTAAGAGGAATGAGTGGCATTGAGCATGATTTAGATTCTGTTGTTCTGTTTTAATCTTGCATGTTCACACTTTTGTTTCATATTAGGATCCTCATATGCTCGAAGTTCAGTGGTTACTGCTGTTAAGTTCACTATTTCTGATCATCCTCAACCCATAGACCCACTCTTGAAGAACTGCATAGGTAAGTACTCCTCTTACGCTGACAGCTTCTATGTTTTCAGGCAAGAGAATTAAATTTAAAATTTTTTGTGTGTTACCAGAAATAAATATTTTGAAGATACTAGAATTAGCTGCTAATGATAACTGTTGGAAGAGTTACAAGATATTTCCGTAGTAGCCAATTATTTCTATTAACACTAATTTATTTTAATTCTGAGCAGTAAAAATTTTGTAATTAAAAATTCTGTGTATTGACTTTGTGATGGGCAATACAAGAAACTAATGTTTTTAGTAGGATGGGATCCAAAAGCTGATTTCCTGTGTTTTTGCCAAATTATATCAGTTTGATTTAGTAAGATGTACTATATTTACCAAGAAGTGTGGTCTTGCAAATATTTGACATTCAGTCACTTAAGACATGTATGCGTGTGAGAGTTATTCTGAGTGTTACCAGGTTTTGAATTGTAAATATAGGTTGTCATGATTCTGTAATGCTTGTATTCTGAAAGCATTTGGAATTGGGTGTATTTTTATACAGGAATAAGGTAATCAGAGCTTTCAGTGTAAAATCAGTATGACAAAGGCCTTTGCAATGCTGTGGCTTTTTTTATTTTCTCATTTGTATAACAAAGTATTGTAGATTTTTTAAGATGCTATGAATGTTCTATCCTTGGTTAAGTACAGGTCTAAAGATATGTAAAAAAATAATCTATGCTTCTTAACCTAATAGGAGGGGAAAGATTTATCCTTAAAAGCATCAAGTTTCATAAAGAGCAAGGTTTTTATTTATAGGGAAATGAAGCCAGTTTACTGTGTGTCACTAAGCTTTTTGTTTCTTAAGTAATATATTAAAGAATTCTGCTTGTAGGTTTTTTCCCCTCCCACTGAAGCTGCCTTGCCCCTTTGGTTTCCAGAAGTATTAATTGATTATTCAATCAAAAAACTATCAGAATCTAGCACTTCAAAAATCTCAGTAATTTTGAGTTTCGTTACCCAGCTTTTTGGTGGGTGCAAGAGTCACTTTGTTTTTACACCTTGTTGGTTTTCTCCTTAGAAAATGTTCATTCCTCATGGAAGTTGCTACGACAACTTCCTAAACATTGAGGATATATTCATGCAGTCATTTATTTTAATAAGGCTGTGTTATAGAAGTATAGAAAAATCTAATTTTAAAATGCCCAAAGGTGGGGGGGGCTGGGAGAGGTGGTGCTATATTAATATGTACTGAGTAGGCCAATTTTGTAGTAATTTAGGCATCCTCAGTATATGCCAATTTGAGGGTTAAAAAATCAGTTATGTCAGTAGTTTCCTTAAGAGGAGTTCTGGAACTCCTGAACTGGAGAAATTGAAATTGGTTTTCTAGTGCATATTTTGAGAGCATTTTAATAAATTGAGAAGATGAAAGGCTAAATGTAATTTTAATTAATTTACATGAAAAGATAGTTTATATGTCATTATGATGGCTGCTTATTTTGATGGTGTTTCTTCTACTACTGTTTCATTATATGAAATACTATATAACAATTATATTAATACTTTTCATATTATGATAATCCTTTATTTGTGTAATCGTGCTGAAATAGCAGGTGTCCGTTCCATTAAAAGAACTCCTGCACTAAGTATATATTTTTGAAAGTTTAAGTAAAACTATTTTAAAAGTTGCAAATGTGAAAGATCCTCATAGGTTGCTTTCTTTCTGTATGTGATTGCAGGTGATTTTCTGAAAACTCTGGAGGACCCAGATCTCAATGTCAGGAGAGTAGCCCTAGTGACTTTTAATTCAGCTGCCCACAATAAACCATCTTTGATAAGGGACCTCTTAGATACTGTGCTTCCTCATCTTTACAATGAAACAAAAGTCAGAAAGGAATTAATCAGAGAAGTAAGTTAACTGAGAAAAACAATGCTAAGTATGTAAGTAGGTTATCTTTTAAATGTGTATTACTTAACTTTTTCTTTTTTATTCACTGACAGGTGGAAATGGGACCATTTAAGCACACAGTTGATGATGGGTTGGACATAAGGAAAGCAGCTTTTGAGTGCATGTATACTCTATTGGACAGCTGTTTGGATAGACTAGATATATTTGAATTCTTAAACCATGTTGAAGATGGTCTGAAGGATCACTATGATATTAAGGTTAGCTCTGTGAAAGCAGGGATTTTATCAAAATATTTCAATTGGTGAATAGACTGAAATGGTAAAAATATTACTTCATATGCTTAAGTACTTCACTACATTTGCCATTTTCATTAAAGTGTGACTGTTCAAAAGGTTACACAACATTGTGGGAAATGGATTTCCATATATGTGAAAGACATAACTGTTGTTGAATTGGGTTTTTTCCTCACCCTAGATGCTGACCTTTTTAATGCTGGTGAGACTGTCTACCCTTTGTCCGAGCGCGGTGCTGCAGAGATTGGACAGGCTCGTTGAACCTTTGCGTGCTACATGTACAACTAAGGTATTTCAGCTTATTTAACTTCATTGGTTTGTGTTTTCTTACGGAAATATAAATGAACTCGTGTTTAAAGAATACTTCTGTACTGCTGCAGTGTTTCCTGAGTTACAGTTGATAAGCTGCAGTAGGCAGCATAATTAGAATAGAAATGAATGGATCTTTGTACAAGTGTTAAATTTATTTAAATTACAGACGGAGAGGTAGATTTGTAAGCTTCTTTTAAAAAAATCCTCTCTTTCTTTGATGCATTTCCTTTTGTTCCCTAAAAATTCTGCTGCCATTTGGTCAACTTGTAAATCTCACTTCATTACAAATAATGAAACTGGAATACTGAGAGTTTATCTGACTTCTGATGGTGGTGTTGTTTCAGACAAGCATTTGGCTGATGCAGTGTAAAGTAGTCCTTGTTTTGTTAGACTTTTTGTCTAGACTTGTTAAGAGTTTTTGTCATTTACCCCACCTCTTCTTCATTTATATTACAGGATTATTGGATCTTTGTAGTTAGTCTCCTTCCATTCCTGCTTGGTCTTAATTCACCTGCATGCTCTGACAGTCATTTATTGCTTGATTTACCTTGCTTTTCTATTATCTAGTCTGCTGTATTTCACATCATGAAAATTGACTGCCTTTAATTATAATTTGTGTTTGTAGCACTGAAATATCTTTGAGAATAACAACAGAAGGTTAAGCAGTTATTCTAATGAAGGTCATCTTCTTTAAGAAGTTCTGTCCTCTGGAAGCTGGGAGTACTGTGATAATAGCAGTTTAAAGTCATTTATTGACCTTACTAGCTTAAAGGCTGGCTGCTGTAGTTGCTTTGATTTGGTGATTGACTTGGCAGCTTACAGCTTTTTTCTGCTTACCTTGGCGTGTTGAAGCTTCAGTCTGTTTTTAAACTGCTGGTAAAAATTCTGCTAAAAGGATGTTTGGGGGTGTTTTCTTTTTGGTTGTTTTTTTCAAGAGCATAGATCATATTGAGAGGAAATATGTTTTTTTTAAGGTACATTTTTTAAGATTGGTATAGAGAGAGGGTTGAGTAAAGTTTCAAACATATTTTGATTTTTTCCATAGGTAAAGGCAAACTCAGTGAAACAGGAGTTTGAAAAGCAAGATGAACTAAAACGATCTGCTATGAGAGCTGTAGCAGCACTTCTAACCATTCCAGAAGCAGAGAAGAGTCCATTAATGAGTGAATTTCAGTCACAGATAAGCTCTAACCCTGAGCTGGCAGCCATCTTTGAAAGTATCCAAAAAGATTCATCATCCACTAACTTGGAATCAATGGACACTAGTTAGATGTTTGTCTAATGGGGACCATTATGTTGAACCATATGATGCACTGAATTGACAGGTTATGAGTAAGAAACAGAAAAAGTATCTAATCTACACATTGTTCCACTTTATTTACCTTTATGGAGACAGTTGGCTTTTCCCATAATTGCTTTTCTAGCATTTATTCCAGAAATGTATTTCCATAGTCCAGAGTTTAACCACTCTTGTTTTAGTGGATTTGGCCACATTTGGGAATTAAAAAGTTGACTCATGGTGTATGGAAATTAATTCCAACATCCATTTGCCCTGTAATGTTTAGGATTAAAATGTCGAAATTTTGTGACCATGATTTTTTTTCTTTTAGTCATTCTTTCTACTTGTAAACAAAATGGGGGGAGGTGGGAATCAAGTGTCCAGGTGCACCATGTTTTTTGTATAACTTTTTATTCTTTTTTGTTTTAGCTTCATAAATTGTTTTGGCTGGCAGATGAATTATGTGTAAGATTTATTAAAAAGAGAGTTTGGGCACAGTTCAAAAAGAGCAGACATAAATGTCATTTTTACAGATGTGGGGATTAGAAAACCAATATCCCTGTTGTGCACACTAATTTTGCATGAGCAAGTTTACAAATATATATTGTCTGTAAAACAGCATGTGCAGTTTATTCGTAACGCAAGTTAAAATAAGTTCTACTGTATCAGTGCAGTTTTCAGGTATTTTGACATACAGGCCATTCATACAGGAAGGGATGAATGAAGGTTTGTTGTCTTAACCTGGCTTTTTTAAATGCCAGTAATATGATCCTGCAGATATTCTTACAGTAAACGTGACAATTTTTGCAGTTTTCATTCCCAAAGACTGAATCCACTGGAATTAAGGTTGGCAAACTGTAAGATCGGAAGGAAGCAAGATGGAGGTAAAATGAGCAGAGAGAACAAGAGCTGCTCAGTGGTTCCTGAACTCGGCATTCAACTTTGCTTTTATTATAAAAGTATGAAGGAAGTTTCTTCAGTGGATTCTATCTCCTAGTCTTCATCTGACAGCTTTTATTAAGGCACTAATATGTGGTGTTACCTAGGCAAGTGTTGCCAGACCATCATTTTGTTCTGGCACATGTCACCACCAGTAGGCTGCAATGCTGCGAGTGCCATACAGTATTCTGGTGAGACAGAAAAAAGGGGAGGCCAAAAGGCTGGGTAGAGATAGAGAGCAAACAGAAGAAAATGTTCTGTGGATACGATGAGGTAATTTAGAAATTGACCAGAAGTGGATAGCTGGCAGTCCCACAATGAACTGGATTTGGGAATTTAATAACAAAATGATCAGGGACCACTGCCTCATTACTTGTTTAATGCAACTGCTTAGTTGTCTTTTATTTTTTTCTGAAGTCAGATATGAATTTGAATTTTTTTAGTTAACTGGTCTTTTTTAGCTAGTTTGATATTTTGGAAACCTGTTACATGGGTACGTGGCATAAGCTGCTACGGGACTGAAAAAGCATTCATTTTTATGACCTCAGAGACAGTTTCCTGTGAGCACTGGGGCTTGGGGGCAAAATCTTCACCTTACATGCTTGCAGCTTGGGAAAAGCAAAGGAGATATTGGTACATTTTACTTTAATAGAAGGACCTGAACAAAGAAGTCTATGAACTCATTCAATAGTAACAATTCTAATGCTGTAGAAATTTTTGAAAATGTAGCTTTCTCTGTCTCCAAAGTCTTCATACTAATGTAACAATTGTCTTCTAGAAGTAGAAATAAATGAGATTAAACATACCAACATATCTAAATGTCATGAAAAGGATTGGAATGACTACAGAGAAACCATACAGCAGAAAAATCACTGTGAATTAGGTGTATGTTATCTTACTGTATAAATCATCTACTTCAATTGCAGCAATATACCCGTCTCCTAATTAAGAATCTGTTGTACTAATTAGTTTTCAGACTAATCTTTGAACTTTTTGCGTTAAGTTTTCCAAGTATATTAAAATGTTTTATAGATCAAAAGTTAGATGTGAGAATGGTGTGATAAACATGAACCATGAGGCTAACATAGGAAGAGGGAATAGGTGACAATGGTAAGTGAACAGAATATTTGTAGTTGAGAGATCTCTGTGTTCTTATGTGCTACCATAACAAACAGCTGATGTGGTGGAGGCAGATCATCTTCACTTTGTTTTACAGAACTTGACAGTGGAGCAAGCTTAAGGACAGAAGAGAATGTTGAGCTCTATTGTATTGTGAATGCTTTCTTGCAGAAGAGTAATCTTCACTTTGACCACTGACAAAGCAGTGGGAACATAAGAACTAAGTCTTCCCTGTAAATTGCAGAAATTCTGACTGTGGTTGTCTCCACATAGCAGTTAGTTATTTTGGTGATGTGGGAAGACTAACTCATAAAGATTGTAACTGCACCATAATTACTGAGATAATTTATCCATGTTGCAAAATCTGACCATGTTAGGTGTTGAAATTCCACTCAATTTCACTGGATCGCTAGATTGGAAGTTTTCTTTGGTTTTCCCTCTGTACATCCAAGTACTTGTATAAATCTGGTGTGTTTATGCTTTTAGATCAATTACGTTCATGTAATTCTCTTAAAGAAGTGTCAGGAATACCTGTAGCTGTTTTTCAAATGCTAATTATTTGAAACTGAAATAGGAAATTTCTCTCACTAAAACAAAACCAGCATTCTCAAGGGCTGCTCTTAGGATGTTTGGTAAAATTAGAACTTTCTCTAGTATTTTTCATCACTTTGCACACAGACAGTTGAGACCAATTAACAAGCTTTTGCATAATATAAAAATGGTTGGCCAGTCCTCGCATTGTAGATTCTTGGGTTAAAATGTTTTTGTATCTCAAAAATACTTCATGCTCTGTTTTTCAGTGAAAGAACTCACCATCCTCACAAGCGAGTTTTTTTCTAAAATTATAAATTGAAACCTACAAATACTTCAAGAACGCTGCACTTCAATCATGTACATTTATTTTTTATATAATTTTCCTTCCAAGTATGACATCTAATACAGCAGTTGACAAAATAAAGAGAGCTGTACTACTTCCAAATGTATTTTATGAGGTGTACAAAGCAGCACATAACCATGTAAACAGCATTGCTTCCTTCAAATGAAGGATTATATTTAAATTTCATCAACTTGAAGATAGGAATTAAAAATCCATATCTGCTCCTGTTGTATTTGCCTTAACAGATATTCTCAGAAATGAGGCTTGGAACAAGTTCACCCTGCACTGGTGGACTTAGTAGTAGGGATTTAGCAACTGTTCTCATACTTACTGGTACTTCTCCTCCATTACCTCCACTTTTAAAAGCAAAGTAACATGTGGCCTTGGATGTGTTGTGTGTGGGTTGTTTTTATTTTGTGAGTCCTGATCGTTCTGACTGAAATAATATTTGTTTCTGCCAAACAGTTAAACCTGCAGCCTCTGGGTTTTATTTCCCTTTTGCTCTAAACTTCAGATAAAATGTCTATTTTGTTATTGCTGTTCTTAAAATTAATTCTGAAAAAAATGAAAAATAGTAGTCAGTTTATTACTTTTTTTCCCCCCTCTTTGATTCCTCCTTGCTGTGAGATGGGAAGATTTGATTGCTGCACTACTGAACGTGAGCAGGTAGAAATTCTGGCAGCAAGTGTAGCTCCTTGCCCTGGAAGAGCTCTTGGGTATGGTTATAACTCACATTAAATCTACCTTCTTCATCAGTATCCATATAATTTTTCATTGTATCTGAGTTTGGAGAGGGAGTTCTTAAGAGTAATGAAGTAAATTAATCTTCCATGAGCAATGTTGCTGAAACAGAAGCTTTCTGGAAATGAGCCTTTTGTGAGAATCAGGCAATTTTGTGTTGGTATGGCATTAGACTTCTTTAGATTTGTTTCCACCATATGAGGCTTTAATAATCCCACATAATCTTAAACGAGGAGAAAACTTCCTTCAGAAAGAACATCCATACCACAGAAGAAATAAAAGCATGTTTCTGAGAAAATATGGACACTGGTTGGAAGATGTTAACTAAACTGTCATGCTGAGAAAAAGGCAAAACCAAAGTGAGATTATTTTAATTTAAAATAATTTTCTCTGTGTTCTGCCTTTGATATTTTTGAAGAATGGGAAATACAGAAGGGAAAGAAAAAAGTAACTGGCAAGTGGTGGCCTGTGATCCCAGAATGCAAAGGGGTAGTTTCCTCTTCTTAAGAAGAGTATTTTGATGAAACTGTGTAGAAATTTTGAAAATACTTTTATTCTGAAGGAGTTTATCTTTGGTTTTGTCATATTTTTATTTTTTTATTGTGCAGAAATTATTTCCCGTCTTAGGTGGATTTCTCCCACTTGACAATTATGAGTAAGTTGAATAAAGCTGTTGAAGACTTTAGGAAGTAAGCTGTGTCACTTGGTTCAGTGCAGTAAAGATATTCCTATGGAAGAAACTTGCCATTTACTTTTTTCCACTGCTCTTTTACTAATCGATTAAAAAGCCCCAGTTCTGTATGACTGTAGTTTCCAATCAGCATTCAGCCTTTCTTCTCTTCAACTGAACAAATACTGGACTCCTAAACATCTGATTACTGTTACTTTGTATGCCATCCTTCCTGGGGATTCTTGATGTAATATTGAGTCTTCTGGTTTTCTTCAGTCCTTTACTAAGGTTATTTGCTAGAAGGCTCAGGCTTGTCTCCTGTATCAACGCTATTTCCATTGTGCAAGAGAATGTTTTCATTTATTGTATGCAGTATCCATTTTCCAGAGGCATTTCATGCAGAGATGGCCTGCTTACATGTGACTGAGTGCTGTTTTTGAGGGAGTTCGTAGCCCAAGCATTCCCCTCAGCAGTGAAAATACCTAACATTATCTAGGGACAAAACAAAATTATGTGTTCCACAGAATTCCATGGAATGTGGCTTCATGGAAGTTTTTCTCCTGCCCCTCTGTTTAAGAATGCTCACACTGTACCAAATGATAGCATTCTATTCTAGCCCAACTTGCTGGTAAGGTGTTTTGAATTGTAACAGCTGAGTTCTGCTTACTGATGGAATGTATGGTAGTTTCTTTTATCTTCACAGCTGGCAACTTTGAAGTGTCA